GGCCGCCTCCTGGTGAGGCTTCGGCCGGCGGCGGCCGAGCTCTATGCCCCGTCCCCCCGCGCCGGGGACGCGGCCGGCGGGGGCCCCGGGGATAGGCGGCGGGGTGCGCCGGTCCTCGCGAGACCCCGTTGCCGGGCCCGGGGGGGGGGCGCAGGGGCTCCCTCCCGAAAACGGCCCCCCCGCACCCCGTGCCGGAGTAGGGAGCGGCGCCGTCTCCGCCACAGCCCTACCGAGGAGGGCTCACTTCTCCGGCCGTTCGGTCTCGGCAGAGAAAAGCGTCGGCCCGTTCAGCGAAAGGAGGGGTGCCTGCCGGGGGGTGCCAACCGCCGGCTCCGCCGCCCGCCCGTCGGTGAGCGCCCCGTTACGGGAGCGCCTCGTAGGGTCGAGGGCATCCCCGGGCAGGGCAGGCCCGCGTCCTTCGCCCCAGCACCGCCCTGAGCTGCCGGTGCCGGCGGTACCAGGCACGGGGCGAGGGGCAGCACGCCCCATGTCCCGGGCGCTGTCTCCCGTCTCGGCGTCGCCGCCTGCGCCCCACACCCCCAGCCCCAGCCTTTCTCCTCCCTTGCATTCCTCTGGCTCCCTGACTGTCCCTCTCCTGCTCCCGCCCTTTCCTTTCACATCACTATTTCTTGCAAAGACCCCTGTGGCCTTCCTCCCTTTCTGCTCCACCTTGACTCCTCGCCACTCCCCATTTCCCTGTTTTTCCCTTTCCTCTCATTTCCCTCTCGTTTCACAGCTGCCCCCTTAGCACTTCCCATTGCCTCCATCTTAAGATCCGCAGGTGCTTGGCAGACCCTCTCCCTGCAGGGCTGCCCATGTTTTCCAGCCCAGTTCATGGTCCCGGCAGCTGGTGATGGCCCCTGTGTGTCCCCAAGGAGCGGGTCCCTCCCAGCTCACCTCCCCATCCTCCTTCCAAGGTCATCCAGAGGCTGCAAAAATGTTAGTGTTGGCACGAAGACAGGGTGAGGGACGTGTAATGTGGGATATTAGAGAGTGGGATGAAGCAGCTCAGGCTTATTAAAGTGACCCTGGGACTACTTTCAATCTGTTTTTACTTGAGGATTAATATTTAAGGATGCAGGAAGCCACTTGACATGTAATATGATCTTGCTCAAAAGTTTCACTTCATAACAAAACAAACAGGTACTTAAATAGTAGATGATTAAGTAATCTGCTATTTGCAGCCTGAGCAAAAGTCATGTTCAGTATTTATCACATCAAGGGAACATTTTCTTCTATACAGAAAAAAAAAATCTATGCAATCCCTTTGCAGTCTTTGTGCAATAGGTTGGTATCATGTTTCTGAGGATGAAATGTATACAAGCAGCAGTCCCAAGATCCCACACAGGACACCTGATTTATAAGGACAGAGACATGTAAGTAGAGAGAGGGCAACGTTTTGGCCCATCATCATCCAATGGGGCTGGGATGGATGTTGCATTCTCTGTGTCATTTGCTGATCTAACAGGGATTTCTACTTGAAAAAAAGAAACTGCAAATCTGCACTATCAGATCAGAGAGGCATTGCAGTGGAATCTGTGGCAAGTAACCTCAATCAGTTCAAAGCAAACTGCACATCGTATAGCAAAGACCTGTTTGGCCATGGCCAGGGGATTGAGTGGTGTTCTTACAATTTCAGTTAACATCATTCATAGGGCAGTAATATTTTCCTTAGGCAAAGGATAGCTTTCCCATTTTTCAGGGAGCTAGATGAACTAGAGAATGGGAAGAAATTTCATAGCTTTTCATAATGAAGGCTTTGCCCTGCTGAAATCAAGGGGGAAGTCCCTAGCAGAAGCAGCACAAGGATACAGAAGTATTTAGATGTCAAAGGATGCAGTTAATTTGATACTGTAGAGGATTTTCAGAAGGACCAATGGACTCTCAGAACTTGGGTTCCTAATTGCTTTTGAAAATCCTTCTAGGAGTTTGATTATGGCTTGGCATTTAAATACCTCAAAAAAAAAATATCTGATCCTTGGTCCTTAGCCAAACTCTTCATCTGCTTATCCTGGCCTTTATTGAAGTGACAACCCAGGCAGTGCAATGGGTAGGGGCTTGTTTGTGTTTGGGTATTGTCTCTGCTGCTCCAAAAATGGGAGATGATATTAGGGTGGATGCAGCTTTGCGTTCATTCTTTTTCTCTAGTGCAGCATCTGTTTTCACTGGTTAGCAGCTGAAGCTTCAGCTGGTCTCACAAATGAGGTATTTCTCCATGTCATTGATGCAGACATTCAAAATGTGTTAACACTTGTGGGGTGGGTTTTCATGCTATGTTATTAGCTCAAAGAAACCTATCAGAAGTGAAGGGGGAACTGTATGCATGTCCTGACCTTCCCATCTCAAACAGGCACTGAGAAACTCAATCTTGCTTGTGAGGGAGTTGACCTTTTGTGATTTCTGGACAGTTCCTTCCACAAACCTTTTAAAAATAGAGATTCAGAAATACTAATGGCAAATATGGTATTTGTATGTAATGAAGAGGTAGCTCCCGTGACAAAGATTTTACAACTTGAACATAAGGAGAAAAATGTTTGTTCTTGTTGTTTATTTAATACTAGATCGATTTCATGTGACTCACAAGATTATTCACGGGATGACATCCATTTTTCCACTATCAAAATAAATGCTACATTACTGATAAGTAATTCCTTGTAAGTAAGGGACACCTTGGAGTATAAATTAGGAATTTGGATACAACAAGAATGTTTTACATTTCATTTTACATTTTTATCTAAATTACATTTTATCTACATTTTATCTAAATAACAGAAATATTTTACATTTTATCTTAGTTAGGGGCACCTTGGAGTATAAATTAGGAATTTGGATAGATCAGAAATATTTTACATTTTATCTAAATGCAAGCTTGGATAGAACAGGTCCTGGCACAAATTCCTACTGTAGAAACACCAATCAACAGACAAAGCAAGCAAAGGGAATACAGGATCAATGGCTTCTTAAGACAGTCAAATTTGTCTTGCTCTGTGCATGCCACACTTTTGTTGTTGGTTTGTTTCTTTTTTTTTTGCTGGTGATGTTGCAGTCTCCTGTCCTAACCGGTGCAGGCAAGAGAGATCTCATGTGGCTCATCACAACATTTTGTTCTATATCAACTGCAGGGATTTAACAAAAAATAGAAAATAGTTCTAATTTGGGGTGTGTGTGGTATTTTTAACTTGCTATCAGTAGGCAACCAGAGAGCAGTAATTACATGAGCATAAATTTATGGGGGTTGGGAAAAGAAAACAGAGCATTAAGTACTTCTGTGCATGTTTGTGTTTGAGAATGATTCTGCTGGACCATGTTTGTGGTGTGCAGAGGAAAAAAAAAAAAGCAAGAGATGACCCATCTTTGGCAAGAGTGCTACACAGCCAGTTTTTTTCTCTAGGATCCCATGTTGTTCAATGTACTGCACATAGCCCCATAGCACCATGTGTGCAGTAGCTCTATGGCTCATGTGAGTGTATTATTTCTTTTTAAAATTAACTGCTGTAAATTTCCACGATAGCTTAACCCTTTTTCTTCCTCTCATTGTATTTTTTTCCCACTGGTTTAATCTCCTGTTGGAGAAATGTCAGTCCATGGATTCCACAATGGATTCCACAAGTCCCTCCTAGCTGGATCCCCCCACAAAGCCAGTGCGTCAGGAAGACTCAGAAGACTGTATTGTTAAACCAGAACCAGAAACAAGTGTTACGTTAAATGTCAGAACAGTTTTGAGACTCATTAGTGTGAGATGTCCCCAAGATGTCTCCTTGCTGACTGCTCCAAGTACAGTGCACCCAGATCCTGGGACAGCGGTGTTCGTGTCAGCCACTGCAGGATGCATCCAATGTAGCTTTCTATTTTGTCATATTCAACTCTATTTAGGCCCATTTGTGGTTTGCGTACTGGTCATTGCACTGGTTTCTGGTACTTCTGATGTCCAGTAATCTGGTGTTTCCCCCTGTACATGAGGAAATACTAGGCTGTTTCCTTTCTATACAGACTTATTTCCTGATGCCTAGAGAAATTCAGAAAAGTGCCTTGCCTTCCCTCATGATGGCAATTCCCATAATGATAATAAACCTTAAGTATTAAATTTAGACTGCAGAATTATTGTCTCAGTGAAATAAGGGGGGGACACTGCAAATTTACACCTCCTGAGAGCCCTTTTCAGGCTATTTACTGAGCCAGAAAGGCAACACATCATCTATTTATAGGCTTTGTATTTGAAAGTTTTCTTCAAAGGCAGAAAATCAATTTGCTGTTTGGGCTTAATATATGCTGTGTGTACGTGTGCATGTACATGTATATGGAAAAGTTAGTATTTCTAGAGATGTCCATCTATATAACTAAGCAGGATCCAGAGCGCAGGTCCATTGCGGGACTTTGCTTGTTTGTGACTGGTTTATATCCTAATAGCCATCAAAACTAGTGCATTAAAATCTTATTAAAAGACTAATAGGAAAGGAAAGATATTCTCCATTTTTTAAAATTCTCCATTCTAGAAGTAAATCACAAAATCTAAAATGTTTACAGTTTCTCTAGGATCCCATGTTGTTCAATGTACTGCACATAGCCCCATAGCACCATGTGTGCAGTAGCTCTATGGCTCATGTGAGTGTATTATTTCTTTTTAAAATTAACTGCTGTAAATTTCCACGATAGCTTAACCCTTTTTCTTCCTCTCATTGTATTTTTTTCCCACTGGTTTAATCTCCTGTTGGAGAAATGTCAGTCCATGGATTCCACAATGGATTCCACAAGTCCCTCCTAGCTGGATCCCCCCACAAAGCCAGTGCGTCAGGAAGACTCAGAAGACTGTATTGTTAAACCAGAACCAGAAACAAGTGTTACGTTAAATGTCAGAACAGTTTTGAGACTCATTAGTGTGAGATGTCCCCAAGATGTCTCCTTGCTGACTGCTCCAAGTACAGTGCACCCAGATCCTGGGACAGCGGTGTTCGTGTCAGCCACTGCAGGATGCATCCAA